TATCTATCTATCTATCTATCTATCTATCTATCTATCTATCTATCTATGTAAAAAAGAGGCACCTGGGGAAAGAAAGATTATTGTGCCCTCTAGGGGCACTGTCCCAACAATGCAGCAATATCTGTGCTATAATAGCAGTTTACACCAGTTGGGCCTACATGAAGACTGAGACCAGGACAAATATTAACTGGCCACACATACAGTTCTATACAGGCACATACACACATTTGTTCTATCACAGTGGCAAAAACAAGGGATTAAAATGATAGAAAAAGTAAATATATATATATTAACTATCGTGTTTTCATGTTATGTCCTTCCTACTGTACTACAACAGCTTAGTTAAGTTACATCAACTGCTCATGTTTGTGCAAGCCCACAATGTTTTATTGTAATGCTTTTCTTTTTTGTTTATTATACATGTTTATGCTCTCATTCAATTGTTTGCTTTGCATACTTGTACTCTCTTGCAATGACCCACATTCTTCTACGATCTAATAACTTTGACAGTTTGCTATAGTTGTTCACAGACCAGCTGTAGACATGACATCAACTAATCAAATAATTTTGGATCTGCCACAAGAGCTACGCAAATAATAAAAGTAACCACCATAGTCTAACTGACCACTGTAGAACATCCGCACCAACATATGGGATTATAACAAAAACTAAGAAGGGTAATCTATTACTTGAGCCCTCCAGAATCTGGTGTCTAACATTGTACGTCACTCACCGCGATTGAAGGTAAAGGGGAAACATCTTGGTCTCTGTGGCTGACTGATGTTGCACAGTGAATTTGAGCGGGGCAGCACCGAGTGGTCACATTTTGAGGCATCTTATTAGGTGACCGACCATGTGCTGCCTGTTAGTCTAATTTAATTACAGCTAGAGACATGAGGGGAAACAACTTTTCCTTCTTTTTTCTGAGGAACTTCCTTAACAAAATGGATAGTGATGTCTTTTTGGCTTCAGTGACATGTTACAAGCAGACAATGCAACAGAATCTCTGTGAAGTTTTTATTCAGCTCTCGTGCAGTCATATTGGTTTTAACCGATGAAGAAGCAGCCACGATGAGTCCAATCAGTTAATCAATTGAATCATGTATTATAGCTGGGTGATTGTATTGTAAATATGCAAGTAACAAAACTGCCACATGCTTAAAATAGTTTACCAAACTGCTGGTAGAGGCTTAATCAACCAATAGTAATTTGGAGCAATATCGATGCTACATGATCAAACAATCTAAATCTTTTCTGTGGAAGTATTAAATCATTCTAGGGCTGGTTCCTAAAGTATATAAGTTAATGAGCTCTACATGCAAGGGCCTCAGGTAAAAAGGCACATGAAGAGTGTATTCTCTCAGTGTAGACTGCTGACGAGGATCAGAGGTCTACGCCCAAATCTTCTCAGGACCTCTCACACTTCTAGCTCAATACTGCCATCTACTGCTTAATACTATACAAGCATATTTGCAGTTTAGTTACACGTGAATACACGTTATGCATTTAAATAGATAGATAGAGAGAGAGAGAGAGAGAGAGAGAGAGAG